ATACATGTAGGTGTTGTTATATCACTATACAGATAAGAAAATTAAGTTTCGGAGACGTTTAATTGCCTAGCAATCACACAACTAATAATAAAACAGTGATAGCCAATAGTTAGGAAATGTCTACAATGTGTGGCTTCATTGGGAAGCTAGTGATGGAGTTGAGACACAGGAGCTGTGGCTCATAGCCAGTTTTGCTCCCCACAGTTGAAGCTCTGATAGCTGCAATCTCATGGCTGCCATATCTTCTGAAGGACAGAGTTAGAATTTTAACTCAGAATTCTCCACAAAGCTTTCAGGGATTCATCATTAGCTTTATTTTACCATTGATCAAACTGAAATTCATCTGTAGAAACTGACCTCTCTGCATTTTCTAAACTTAAGAGTCTTCCAAACTTAGAGCTTAGAGTTTTCTGTGGGGTCTTTGTACCTGAACACTCTGGCCAATTCTCACCTCCATTTACGAATATAGTGAAGAATTAGGGTGGGGACTGGTTAAGAATGCTCTCCAACCATTGCCATAAGTTGTTGTTAAGTGTTTGCTTGATGAGCCTGATAGTTCCTATTACGGGGCAATAAGAAAAATGGAATTAAGGTCTCTATTACTTCTGATATTCTTTTGTTGAGAAATTGCTATACTTGATTTCACCATCAAGGTATTTGTCAGTGCAAAATGCATTACTTATGAGAACTGCCTACATATAATCAACATGCATTTGATGTACAATATATGAACCCAATATAAAATCAAACATGCATCAAGGCAACATTCTCTTGAAAGTCTCATATTTCCTACTGACTGCAGTAGCTAGAGGGGTTGGGGGCAGGGAGCGGACAAAAAGCAACTATTGGAGAAGCAAGATTTTTGAGCATGGGTAGAGGGTCTTGCAAGTAATGTACCTTTTCCCAACCAAATTCCAACCAAATTTGAGTAAAACTAGCAGCTGTCAACACAGTCATATAGAGCATCTGCCTGAAGAAACTTTTGAAGGAGAAATTTCCAATTTTTGCCCACTTATTTTAGCCTTTCCTTCATTATATAGATTTTTTTGGTATAGTAAAGAAAGAAAGAAATATTAAATCAGCATTTAATAACTCATGAACACAAAGAGAGGAACAACAGACCTTGGGGCCTACTTGAGGGTGGAGGGTGGGAGGAGGAAGAGGATCAGAAAAAATAACTATTTGGTACTAGGCTTTGTACCTGGGTGATGAAATAATCTGTGCAAAAACCTCCATGACACAAGTTTATGTATATAACAAACCTTTACATCTATCCCTGAATCCAAAATAAAAGTTTAAGAAAAGACTGCAGAAAAGTAGGTTAAATAAAGTTAAATAGAGTCTTGATTGCAGGACTATAGCAAACCTTAATTATAAACTAAGGCTCTCCAAATAAGTGATGTTTATAGCATTTATATAAGTCTATCTGCATACATGTGCCTGTATGTGTGTGTGTAGTCTGAATATCCAAGCAAGTTTTATGCACACACACACACACACACACACACACACACACACAGAGTCTATGAGTCTCCAAGGAAGTCATATATATAATATGTACACACACATATATAGTTTAACATATATTTACCCATGGCCTCTTTATACAAATAGCATTTTATGGGAGTCATGTTTTGTAAGACAGCAATGTGAAAAGTGGATTTAGAGTGATAAATCAATATAATCTATTATGGATTACATTTATAATAAAATATACAATAAATATAATCTATTGTGATTTAATCTGAGTACTTGCAACCAAGGGTCTCATCTTTACAAACTGAGAATCCCCTGGAATTTATCATGTCTGCTTTTTTCTTACTCTAAAATCCTTATATGCATTAGCATATCCTTAGTCTAATATCCTTGTATTTCTTAGTCTAATATCCTTATATTTCTTAGTCTAATATCTTTATATTTCTTAGTCTAGTATGCTAATGCATATAAGGATATGTGAACCAGGATATAAGGATATATGATATTATATAGAATATAAGGATATATGAACCAGCAGAATGTCGATGTGGGACACATAAGAAGGCAATACTCATCAGGGAGCTGTCACAGAAACAGGTCAAATAAATTAAAAAACTCAGAGTATTATTAAGAGAGGTTCCTGAATCAAGCACCCTTACCCAACAATTATAGTTACTACTATAAGGCTTGGATAGGCAAAGCAGGTCAGAACACCCCTCATAAGAGGTGCTGGAAGACAGGCTGTTTAGATTCGACTTGACATTCCTTCCTAAATGGAACACGTAGAGACTCCTCTTGCTGGGGTGTGTCATCCTTCTATATCCAGATCCATATAACACAGGGGAGTGAAACAAACGCAGCTGATGGGCTGTATGTCATGGTTACAAAAGGCAATCTGTCATGGCTAGTATATCCTTGTGCCATCCCTTGGGGCTGGATCCCAGCTCTTTCTATAAGGAGCACATTGTGCTAGCTCACAGCCCTCTTCCCCTGCAACATGAGAACACCCACAGGTTTAGCCATTTTGGAAGAGAGCTGGATCTGCTCCAGCACAAGGGCCCCAGGTTTTTTTTACCGGTGATTGTGATTCAGAGGCCTCAAAATGCCAACCACTCAGCAGAAATGAGAGCATGTAAACTGTCAAAGCCTTGAGAGAGAAGACCAAATTTTACACATTTCGCTACTACTTTGCCATAAAATATAATCCCAAGGTAAGGACCTGATCAACATTCAAAGCTTACTCTCGGTGAGGAATGATGAAGTGGAATAAAATCAAACCAGTGAAGCAACATGTAATATAAAATAGTGAGTCAATTTGGCGTAGTCATTAAAATTAAATAACATGGCCAGGTGCGGTGGCCCACTCCTGTAATCCCAGCACTTTGGGAAGCCGAGGCGAGTGGAACACCAGGAGTAAGGAGTGCGAGACCAGCCTGACCAAAATGGTGAAACCTCGTCTCCACTAAAAATACAAAAAATTAGGTGTGGCGGCTTGCGCCTGTAACCCCAGCTATTCCAGAGACTGGGGCAGGAGAATCCCTTGAACCCAGGAGGTGGATGTTGCAATGAGTCAAGGTCGCGCCATTATACTCCAGTCTGGGCAACAAGAGTGAAACTCAGTCTCAGGGGAAAAAAAAAAAAAATTAAATAACGTATTCATTTACTCCTTCATCCATCCATTTTATTGGCATTTATAAAAACCTCCATGCCAGGTCTCAGAGAAACAGAAATGAAAATGAGAAAGTTTCTCTTTTGAAAGAATCCAACCAGTCTGGCTGTTTTTTAAACTTTAGAATGTGTATGAACCACTCGTAATGATGGTTTAAAATGCAGATTCCCGGGCCACGCACCCCACAATAGATTCTTCTTCAGCTGGGCAGTGGTGAGGTCTAAGAGTTTTCAGTGTGAGGTCTAAGAGTCTTCAGTGTTTTTCATGGTGATTATGACGCCTGTGGTCTATGGGCCATACTTAGAAAAACACTAATTAGACACATAGAAGCCAGAGGACCCCCATAAAACCAGCCTGAATGGACTGAGTGGTTAAGAGCATAGTCTTCGTATGCATTTCCGAGAGTCAGGCACCCTGAGTTCAGATTCTGCCTCCATGACCATCTGTTTGATATTGGGCAAATTACTTGACTTCTGTAAGACCCAGTTTTATTTTAAATAAAATGGGGACAATATTTCCCATCCTTTTCTTTCTTTTCTTTTCTTTTTCTTTTTCTTTTCTTTCTTTCTTTCTTTTCTTTCTTTCTCTCTCTCTCTCTCTCTCTCTCTTCTCTTTCTCAATCTCTCTCTTCTTTCTTTTCTTCTTTTCTTTTCTTTCTCTCTTTCTCTTTCTGTCTTCCTTTCTTTCTGACAGGGTTTCACTCTGTCGCCCAGGCTGGCATGCAGTGGTGGTGCTATCACAGCTCACTGGAGCCTCAACCTCCTGGGCCCAGGTGATCCTCTTACCTCAGCCCCATGAGTAGCGGGGACTACAGGTGCATGTCACCATGCCTGGCTAATTTTTTGTATTTTTTTTAGAAACAGGGTTTTCCATATTTCCCAGGCTGGTCTCATACTCCTGGACTGAAGTGATCAGCCCGCCTCAGCCTTCCAAATTGCTGGGATTACAGGCATGAGCCACCATGCCCAGTCCAATATTTCCTATCTTTTAGAATTATTTTGAGAATAAAATGAAATAATGTATGTCTGGCACATTATTTGGTACAGAATAGATGCTCAATACATAGTTGCAATAGCAATAATTATTGCTTCTGAAGGTGATATTATTATTGCTGCCATAGAGTTGCACCAGAATTAAGCTATATTAATCTATATTAATTTAGATGTCAATATATTATGTTACTATACAGTAACAAAACAGATTAGCAGGGAGGGTGTATTTTCTAAAATAATTTGAAGATCTGTATTTTATAAGTCACTGTAAAAGGAAGCCCTCCTGAATAATGTTCCCCTTGGTTGTTTTTGCAAAGTTGTTTTTTGCTTTAAACTTAAGTAGTTTCAAAGACAAATAAGAAATACTCATAATCTTTTTCTCTCTACAATGTTCACAATTTTTTAAAAAGTTTAAATAATAATATCTGTCTTATGATAAGGTAATACTGGATATAGAAAATTTAGAAAGTGTGAAAAACACTTTAAAAATGAGAAAATAATCATCTAACTATAATTAAAATTTGATGTTTAGGCTTTTTTTTTCTATTATGGTTCGTGTCATCATTGAACTCAAAATATATGCACAATTTGAATTCTGTTTTTCCGTATGTATTATGTAGTAGGAATTTTCACATATCACACATAAGCATAATATTAATGACTGAATAATTCCATTTTTCTCACCCATAATTTAGGTCACCAGTCCCTTACTTTGGGAAATTTTACTGTCTTAATATATACAATAAGAAATAATTTTATACCGAGTGTTTATATATACATCATTTTTCTTTTAGATAGATTCCTGAAAACAAAATTACTGAGTGAAGGTTATGAATACTTTTAAATTTATAAGACATGTTAACAATTTTTTTTCATAAAGGTTTTGCCAATGACAAACTCCACCATCAGAAAAAAGTACCAATCTATCTAATAACTAGAGATACTAAATGTGCTTTGATTAATTTATTGGCCATTATATTTCTTTTCTACAAATTATCTATTCCCTCTTTCGTCCAGTTATCTACTGGAAACTTGATTGATTGTTTTCTCTGTTCCTTTCCATTCATTCCCTCTTTTCTTCTTTCCTTCTATCTTTTCTTTTCTTACTAAAAAGTCATTTTAGATTTTTCATGGAATGAATGTTGTATAATTCAGTATTCTACTGGTTAAAGCACAGCCTAGAAGTATGTTTCTGCTCTCTCTCACAGCAGTGTTATAAAAAGATTGCACCAAATTTCACTTCATAGAATTTATCTTTGATGACAAATATATTAAATTTCCTTTCCCAGGCAGATCCCAAATGTGGCAGCTTTTACTGGCAGCATGCTGGATGCTTCCTCTTGGATCTATGTATGGTTATGATAAGAAAGGAAACAACGCAAACCCTGAAGCTAATATGAATATTGTAAGTCATTTGTTAAGAAAAAATGCTAAAATGAGGAATTATTCATATTTCAGCATTTGAAACACAACTGGGGTGCCTTCTCAGTTTTCAACAATTCCTCCAGTGACTAAATCTATGCTTCCTCTCCTGTTTCTATATATGGCTAACTAATCTAATAATTCAAAGATCTGACCCAAGTTGGGGCAGTAATATTCCATCTCCTAGTTTGAACTACTATCCAGTGGTGGCTTCCTAAAGAGAAGGTTCATGACTCAATACAGTGATCTCTATAGAGTATCTTTGAGTTTTCCCTACGGTTTTTCATAGAGAAGTTTCTTTGATTTTGTGAACTATCCCAATGCACTTTTTTGGTTTAATAAGCCAGTATTGGTTTCTTTTGTTTATTACCAAAGTGTTTTAACATTCAGGAATTCATATCAGAAGTGGAATGGAATAGTGTTAGGCAAAGAAAAAAAGGCCAAATGACAAATATCTACTACAGAATTCATTCTGATAATATACTCCATTTTCCTATATAAACGGTGCACAATTGATTTCCTGTACCATATGCAAGTTGTATTAGAACCATAAAAATAATGAAATTGCCAAAGTTTTTTTTCATTAGTATCTCTTCTTGTTTCTCTCTCCAAAGTATCAAGCAAGTACCCTTGATCTCGTACCACACTGTTGAACTCACATAATTTTTCTCTCTCTAGTATAAGTGATTTTTAGCTTTTAATCCTTCTATAATGATAATAAGAACAATCATCTATAAAGCACTTATGTTAGGCATTGTTCTACACATATTACATATAGTCCTCACAATGTCACAGTCTGTCTCCAGAGCCTGGGCTCTTCGCCGCTGCTCTATGTAGCCCATAATTTATACATGCATCTCTGTGTCTGACTTGGGAAAATGCATAATCCTTTGATAAAGGCATAAGCTTTGGAGTTAAACTTACTTTAGCATTAATCTGATTTTTATCTCTTCCTAGTATATAATCTTGGACAAATTGTTAATCTACCTGAATGTCAGTTTTCTCAACTGTAAATGGTATAATTCTATCTCAAAGGCCTCTTATAAGGTTAATGAGACAAGGAATGTAAACCTCTATGCAGAAGATAACCAATAATCACTAGTTCTCCTCTTCTTTGTATATCTGTGGGTAGGGTATCTTCTCTGACCCCTCTAGGCTCACTCTTCGCTCTTTAACACCTTTCTGTCTGCCAAGAGGCTGAACTGTAAGGACAGGTCAACAAGCAACCTTGCCTTTTGGTTTTCAGTTCAATTCAGCCAATGGACATTGTGAGCAGAAGATGGAAAGAAATAGGCCAGTAACGTTTGATTTTTTATTGTCCTGGCTTCCTCCCTGTGAAGTCAACTTAGACAAGCTGTCTTCCTCAATTTGCTTATCTCAGCTTGACTTTCTCCTTTCGGCTTCTGGTAACTGCTTCCTCCCCTCTTCTTTTAAGTCTGTTTGGTAATAGTTCACTTGTTATTAGCCACAGGGTACTCCACAATTCCCTGTGGTTTCCCTCATTAGATAACCATATAATTTTTCATCAAAACAAACTAGGGTGCTTTAATAATACCAGGCCAACAGGCAAAACCAGAAAGTGTCCTGAGCAAACAAGAATATAGGGTCACCCCACCCAGACTTACCTATGCCTCTTTATGTAACTCCTAGAAATCCCTTTTAAATTATACTCATAGGAATATTACATGCCGTCACAGCACATAGAGTGATAAGCAGTAGGTGCAATTTGAAGTACTACATTGTGGCCAGGCATGGAGGCTCACACCTATAATCCTAGCACTTTGGGAGGCCAAGGCAGGGGAATGAATGCCTTGAATTTAGGAGTTCAAGACCAGCCTGGGAAACATGGTGAAACCCCGTCTCTATAAAAACATACAAAAAATTTAGCTGGGCATTGGGGCAGGTGCCTGTACTTCCAGGTACTTGGAAGACTGAGGTGGGAGGATCACTTGAGCCCAGGAGGTGAAGGTTGCAGTAAGCCGAGATCATACCACTGCACTCCAGCCTGGGGAACAGAGTGAGACCCGTCTCAAACAAATAAACAAACAAAGTACTATATTGTAATGCATGTGTAAAAATTAAGAGATTATAAAATGAAGGTATATATTTCCTTTCCTCTTTTTAGAGCCAGATTATTTCTTACTGGGGATATCCTTATGAAGAGTATGATGTTACAACAAAAGATGGTTATATCCTTGGAATTTATAGGATTCCACATGGAAGAGGATGCCCAGGGAGGACAGGTATTATTTATTTTGTTATAAAAGGAAAAATACTTAAAGCAGAGGTACTTAAATGTCCTGGGAGAAGTCAAGCAGTTTCTGTTCTGAAATCCTTAGCTGTCCTTTCCATTAGAGGAGAAAAATCATCACCCTCCACCTCTCTGTTTAATTAGTATAACTTTGAAGTTTTAAGTCACTTTTACATACACTGTTTATTTGGTCGCTCCTTTTCTTCATGACTTCGTCTTCCTACCAAGCAAACACCAAAAACACATCGTGTTCTTACCCTAGTGATACCACTGTCCCGTTTTGAAAATCAGAAAACTAGGGGTTATTCTTGATACCACCTTCTCCCTCACCTTCTACATGCAACCTAACATTGCCATCTATCAATTTTGCCTTCTAAATTTCTCTCTAGTCTGAAAACTTTTAGCTTCAATAATCATTCAAACCCAGGTTTGGACATAATGTCTTCAACTACTACGATGCCTTCTCACTGGTATTAAACTATTTGTAGTCAGTTCTGGACCCAAGTCTGTGTGATTTCATGGTTTAAAGTAAATATTACCCTATTAGCTCCCACCTAGCAACAGCTTCCCAGCTTGTCAAATCACCATCTAGTTGAGCCTACCTTCCTTCACTCCAGCCTCCACCATGTCCATCAGGGTGACCTAGAAGTCTGCCTTCAGCAGCTGTTGGTACAGGAGTATACCCAGTGCTTGTATCAGTTCCTCGAGCTTCTTTCAGGTGGGCAGCAGCTTTCTGGGTGGCCTGGGCACCAGTATGGGTCTGGGTGAGGTCTATGCTGGGGCTGGTGGTATGGGAGGCATCACAGTTATCACTGTGACTCGGAGTCTGCTGAGTTCCCTAAAACTGGTGGTGGATCCCAACATCCATGCTGTGAACATCCAGGAGAAGAAGCAGATCAAGACCCTGAACAACTTTGCCTCCTTCATTGACAAAGTATGGTTCCTGGAGCAGCAGATCAAGATGCTGGAGACCATGTGGAGCCTGCAGCAGCAGAAGACAGCTGGGATCAACGTGGACAACATGGAGAGCCGCATCAACCACCTTCTGTGGCAGCTGGACACATGGCACCAGAAGCTGAAGCTGGACGTGGAGCTTGGCAACATGCAGGGGCTAGTGGAGGACTTCAAAAGTACCAGGATGAGATCAACAAGCATACAGAGATGGAGAATGAATTTTCCTCATCAAGAAGGATGTGGATAACGCTTACATGAACAACGCAGAACAAGTAGTCTCGCCTAGAAGGGCTGCCCCAGGAGAATAGAAGATCCGTGAGCTGCAGTCCCAGATCTCGGTCACATCTGTGGGCCTGTCCATGGACAATAGCCGAGTCCTGGACATGGACGGCATCATCTCGAGGTATCCGCCCAGTACCAGGAGATCGCCAGCCGCAGCTGCGCCAAGTCTGACAGCATGCACCACCAGATCGAGTATGAGGAACTGCAGGCCCTGGCTGGGAAGGCTGAGAATGAGCTGTATCGCAGGAAGAGGATCTTCCAGATGAACCGAAACATCAGCCGATTCCAGGATGAGACTGAAGGCCTCAAAGGCCAGAGAATGCGGAGCAGCGTGAGTCCTTTGCCCTTAAGGACACAACGCTGAGCCTGCAGAGCTGGAGGCCACTCTGCAGCGGATCAAACAGGACGGGAGGCCGTAGCTTCACCAGAACTTGGAGCTGATGAATGTCAAGCGGGCCTTGAGCATCGAGAGCGCCACCTACAGGAAGCTGCTGGAGGGCAAGGAGAGCCCGCTGGAGTCTGGGACGCAGAGCAGGTGTATCCATAGGAGTACCAGCAGTGGCTAACCCGGTGGACTGGGCTCGGCCTCACAAGCTCTGGCCTCAGCTATGGCCTGGACTCCTTTCAGTCCAGCTTTGGCTTTGGCGGGGGCTCCGGCTCTTTCAGCCGCACCAGCTCCTGCAGGGCCATAGTTGTGAAGAAGACTGAGACCTGTATTGGGAAGTTGGTATCTGAGTCCTCTGATGTCCTGCCCGAGTGAATGTCCACAGCAGCACTTCTCAGCTTACCCTTCCTGTGGCTGCCCCACATCCTGCTGCGGAGGCAGCTGTGCAGGGGAGCATGGGCAACTGGAGACCCACCTGACGCTCAGCCCTAGCTCTCAGCCTAGAAGGATAGTTTACTGCCTAGAGTACACCACTTGCCCTTGCCTCCAATTAAAAAACCAATTCTATTTTTTTGTTGTTTTTTTCTAAAATAGAGCCTCAGGTATCCTTAGGAATCGCTGCAAAAAAGACCCTATTCATTCATATCAGTTCTGTGCTTAAACTTCATTAAAGCGTCAATTCTAGCTCCCTACAATGCAGGTGGCTATCCATAGGTGGAAAAAAGTGAGCATTTCATTCTCTAGAAACTATTTGCTTTTGTTTTCTTCTCTCTCTTCTTAGTTCATTTTATACTTTGGCAGGTCGAATAACAAAACTTCTCAATATCAGAAAGACTACTTATTTAAAGAAAAACTAGATTTTTAAAGAGTGGAAGATATAATGGTGTTGCTGGCTTTACAGAGCCAATCATTTCCCAAAATAACTCCATAATTACAAATAACTTTGTAAATACTCGAGAGAACTTTTAAGTCTCTCCAAGCTTTTCTCTTTTCATTTCTATCACAGTTCCCAAAATGCATGAGACAAAAAGCTGTACAATGAGAAACTGTCTCTAATCTGAGATCCCTGGATCTGTCTCAGACTCAGATCACAGAGGCCTGATGATACTTAACTATTTAATGGTACTAAACTTTGGCAAAGTCAGTAACACCTCTTCTTTCCCTCTATTCCAAAAGGTGGAAAAATGGACATAGACTCTTAGTTCCTTGGTCCCGGTGGCTGAAGGCTCTCTGAGAGTACAACTTACTCTCAGGAAGCCACTCTAGCTCCAAAAGTGACCTGAGGTAGGGTCCTGAGATACCAACACAGCATCACAAACCATTTATAAAGCAGAGGAAAAGCCTAATCACTTCTTCCCTCTCTTCTCTCTTTTTCAACACTTTCTCACTTCCTTCTTTTTCCTTTCTCTTTCTTAGTTAAAATGTCCCTATTTGACATTGGGAATAGGATTTTTGTATCATATTAACAATTTTAAACTATAAAGTTCTACTTATATCCTTGTTTTTTGCAATTCAAATGAAATGAAGCAGTGCCTATAAAAATTAGCATAGTGCTTGACATTCAGTGAGCATTCAACAAATGGCATTTTTATTATTTTTTATTATTTTGAAAAAAATTTAAATTTTTAATCAGATGAGTCTTGAAAAATATAATGCTATTAATATAAATAACAGTAATAGAGCTAACATTTACTGTGCCAGATGGCCTTTTATATGTTTAAGTTCTCAATGAATTCTTATAAATACACGAGGAGATAGCATTTGTTATTATTTCCCATTATACAGATAGGTTAACTGAGGCACAAAGGAGTTCATGCATATCAGAAGGGATTTTGAACTAGGGCAATCTAACTTCCACACGTAAATAATACAATACATTATATATAACCCTTTACAAATGAGAAAATAAGACTGAGAGAACTTAAATAACTTACCCAAGTAAGTAGCTCAGAAGGGACTAGATCCCAGATTTGCCTGGCATCAGATTTTACCTCTTAACCTCTCTTCTATACTACAGAAATTCAGGAATGAGATTTTTCTTGTAGACACTGAGGAAGTTCAGACATGAAATTCTTGTTGCCTGTGTTTTGCAGCTCCAAAGCCTGCTGTGTATTTGCAGCATGGCCTAATTGCATCTGCCAGTAACTGGATTTGCAACCTGCCCAACAACAGCCTGGCTTTCCTTCTGGCAGATAGTGGCTATGATGTGTGGTTGGGGAACAGCCGAGGAAACACTTGGTCCAGAAAACACCTTAAATTGTCGCCCGAATCACCAGAATACTGGGCCTTCAGGTAAGGAGAAACCTATTAACGAATACAGTGTGTACTCTGCTCATGTATATGTATGAACAACTAGTGATTTTTGCCCTTTTTGGGTCCAAATGCATGCAGTGGAATCCACAAGAAGGAAACAAACCTTTCTTTCTCTACCCAGACTTTCTTCACAGGCTCTAAAGAACTGTCATTATTATTGCATGACTGTTTTAGAATTCCTGCCTCCTTCCTGGTATCTGTGTGTGGGTGAGTGTGTGTATGTATGTTCTAAGGGAAGTAAGAAGAAAGCCTGATTACAGAATGGCTAAGCAACAGTGTTGCCAGCAGCAGCGCCAGGGGTTGCTGTCTGCTTCAGAAGCTACGCCTACCTGGTTACAGGAGCAAACCTATGCTCTGGCATAGGAGCTAAGAACCATGCCTTGGAGGTCATGAAAACCCTGTGTTCCTTGGCTTCATTGCCAGCCTTCTTTCTGGAAAGCACTGGTATTTCCTAATTCTATAACCATAATCCATTGCACCCTTGCAAATGACTAGAAAATTCCCTAGGTAAGTATTTATTAAACTATATAGAGGATCAGAAGTAACTGAGGTCATTGTTAAATATGCGGATTACTGGGTCTCTTCCCAGGAAATTCTGATTCAGTCAGTCGGCTGAGGTCTGCAAATCTGTTTGCTTTATTATTCTTTTAGATAAGCATTCCAGGTAATTGCTCTTTTCAGAGGAGCTTGGTAAACCTGTTATAGAATTAAGTGAATATGACTAGCCTTGCAAGAAAAGCATCAGTAGGCCTTGACAAATCAAATTTTTCTGATTTCAGTTTCTTAAAAATGTTGACTTGCAATCAAGGCGTTGCACCCTTTAAAGTTGCATAGATGCCTAATATCATATATTGACACTAGTCTTATATTTAACAAAATCAAAGTATTTATGTTTTCACTGAATGTTCTATTTCACTTAAATGTTCTAGGCCTAACAATGAGATGACTTTTCTAATTTGTTATTCTTTCTTTTTGATAGTTTGGATGAGATGGCTAAATATGACCTTCCAGCCACAATCAGTTTTATCATAGAGAAAACAGGACAGAAGCGACTCTACTACGTGGGTCACTCACAAGGCACCACCATAGGTGTGTTTGGGGCAGATGTGATCAGAGAATGTCAGGGGCTCTTCTTGCATATTCATGGAAGGGGGTCAGTATTTCTTCTGTCTGTGCAATCTCTAGCTTGAGGGCTTGACTTGGGAAACCATTTCCTCTGGCTAATTTCTGAAGAGTAAATAAAATAAGAATGACAATAGAGAATTTTCCCTCAATACTAAATTTGGAGGTTGATACATAAGCCTGAAAGAGGGAGAATTATTCATATATTCGTTTGTGCGACCAACAAACATTTGTCAGACACTGTTATATGCTGAGGAAGCAGAGATAAATACGGTATTCATTCTTTCCTTGAAGATCTCACAGTCTAGTGAGGGACACTAGAAAGAAAGCAGAGATTACAAAACTCAGCAATTATATGCTACAATCAGTATGACTTTTACTTGCCAGGGAGGCATTGGAGTAGGCCAGATGTGGGTAGGGCTATGTTGGCAGTGTTATGAGGCCTGTTTGTCCCCTTACTGTTCTCACTTTGGCTAGAGGCCTTAACACTACCAACAGGATTTCCATCAGTCCGTTTTCTATATCTTAATTATAATCAGGATTCTGGTGTAAAGCAGGTCTGTACGTACTTGTACTGTATCACACATCTCACATACATTCTCTTATTGGAAACTGCAAACATCTGAAACCACTATCATCCACGCTCCACAAATGGTTGAATTGAGGAATCTGTTCTAATGGTGATATTCCCAAGTAACATCTTACATTTCATATCTTTAATAAAGATTACAGACACAAAGGTTATAAAGGTCAAATGCATATAACTTACATACATTTGACTTTTATAAAAATCATCCTATAAGGATTTTACCATTCACACTTACAGACTGAGAAAACCGAGACTCACACAGGGAAGTAAATAGGAAGTAGGAAATAGGAAGTAAATAGGAAGCCAAATTTACAGCCCAGTTTTGTCTGATACCAGGACTATCGTCAAGCTGGAATGGGCTTTGGAGTTTACCTAGACATGCCCCACAGTAGATATTTGAACCCTCTCTCCTTGCACTCCCCAGGGACAGGAAACACTTTATTCTGAATTAGCCAATTCCACCCTTGAGAAATTGAGAAATTCTTCTCTACAAATGGTAATAATTCTATGTTGTTTTTTGTTTTGTTTTTAACATGGCTATATTTACTACAACTTACAATGAACAAATAATTATGTGAAAACTATGAACTAGTGTCTTCTTCCATTTCAGCTTTTATAGCATTTTCTACAAACCCAGAACTGGCTAAAAGGATTAAGATATTTTTTGCACTGGCTCCAGTTGTCACACTGAAATACACCCGAAGTCCTATGAAAAAACTAACAACTCTTTCCAGGCAAGTAGTCAAGGTATGTGACTTCCCAAGTTTTAATCTGAAATAACTAAAAGTAGCTTTATTTCCACTGATTTCAACAGAAAACCAATGACATTTTACAAACTTCTGAGAAAATAATTGGTATTCAAGATAATCCATATAAGTTCACTGATGATGTACACAATCTTATTAGCAGAGTTCAGGGAACTCCCCCTGTTGTTAATCTACCCTACTTTCTTCAACTATGTCTAGAAACATGTCTCCTGTATCATTCCTCAACCACAGATAGAGAGAGCTTATTTGATTGATTGGTTTGTTGAATTTAGCGGATTAAATTTTTCTGGTGATCCCTAATTTTTTAGGGGCAGTAGTGGTTGAGTTCACAGCATGGAATCAGATGGTGTGGGTTTGAATCTCATTTGTACGATTTGCAAGCTGGATAAATCTGGTCAAGACCTTAAGTGCTCTTCATTTGTAACGTGGGGATAATAATACTTCTCACTCATAGGGCTACCATGAGGACGACGTGAATTAATACAGCATATCCTTTAAAACAATGTCTTGCATACTGTAAACCTTTAATAAATGTTAACAATTGTTTTGGCTATCATTAGTTTTATAGGACATACCCTCCTCCATCACTAAATGCCCAACCTTGTTTCATTTCCTGACACTTTACAGGCTGTCATTTTGACAATTCCGAAAACCCAGGCAAAACTCTGGGCCCCCTGATCTCCTCTAGTTGACAGCTAACTAATCTGATCGTTTATCTAGTCCAGGTGAATTGCATTGCATGGGTTGGTGTGTTTTCTTCTTGTATTTTAACATGGGCTTCTCCCATGGTAATAACTCCCATGGTGGTGATTATACAGTTCAGTGATTTCAATGAAAGCAGATGAAAGTGAAACAATTCTGATAGAAGCCCAAAGATTTACAGAAGATTCCTGTTGAGAGCTAAACAAATTAGTCTATGGTGATTGAAGTGCCTATCTATACATCCCAGAAAAATGGGTAGCAGAAAAACCACCTGAAAATAACACAACATGCTTACATTGCCTGTTGGTACCTGGGCCTCTTACACCATTGAGACTTCACTCTGGCCTGCTCCTGCTATTAAGTAAACAATGTCAGACTGTTCGCTAAATTATTTCAGTATTCCCACACAATTAAGAGATATTTCAGGACAGTGGGATCTTTCCATTCCTCTTCATTTGCACAGCTGTCTTCAAACTTCCGCATTCCCTGACATGTGTAGGATGTGGTGTACAAGTTAATCCAGCCAAAAGATATCTAGGAGCTACTATTTCAAGGCCCTGGCATTAGGAAACAGCTATGTCTACAAGGAACCTTTTCAGCTCATTGGTATGAGTAAAAACTAGGGTGTATGTGAGAGTAGAATGGGATTCAACCAAGGAGGTATTAGGAGACAATGGAAGAAAGCAGTGTCATGTCTAGGAGTTTAGACTTTGTTCTGTTAATGATGGGAGGCCGTTGAAGAATATTAAATAGAAAAGTGGCTTGATCAAATTTGTAATTTTAGAAAGATTGCCCTTTCAAAATTATTGTTTTATTTATTTATTTTTTATTATACTTTAAGTTCTAGGGTACATATGCACAACGTGCAGGTTTGTTACATATGTATACATGTGCCATGTTGGTGTGCTGCACCCATTAACTCATCATTTACATTAGCTATGTCTCCTAATGCTATCCCTCCCCGCTCCCCAAACCCCACAACAGGCCCTGGTGTGTGATGTTCCCCTTCCTCTGTCCAATTGTTCTCATTGTTCAATTCCCACCTATGAGTGAGAACATGTGGTGTTTGGTTTTCCGTAGGGACATGGATGCAGCTGGAAAACGTCATTCTCAGCCCTTTCTAAATTATAACTCCAATAGAGTAACTATAGTACCAACAGAAGAACTGCCACATATGACCTACTAATTCCTAGTAGAAATTCCAGTATTATAATGATAGAGCAAAAACTTTGCTAGGTAAACTCAGAGAAAAGCAAAAATACTTCTAGCTGTTGGAATCACAACAGACTTTTTGGATAAGATGGCATTTTAGTTTGCACTTAAGGATAACATTTCAGTATAGAGTGTGGTATAGAAAGGCTTTCCAAAGCAAGAGGGAAGCATGAGCAACATTGAAGTGGTGAAGCTCAGGCCATGGAAAACCACATATAACTCACTTTACTGGAGTTTTATATTAGTATTAGTAAAGGACAGTATGAGAAATCATGTTGGAAATGTAGAGGCAGATTATAAAGGGATTTGAGTGTAAAATTAATGAGTTTGGAATGTATTCTATAGGTAATTGGGGAGCATGGAAATATTTGCACAGAGGAATGACATGCATAATGCCCCTTTTTAGAAAGATTCCCCTGGGAACCAAATGTAAGCAGATGGGGGTAAAGGACATCAAGAAGGGTGAAAGATTAGGAGAATAATGATGGAGTTATTGTTAACACATCAGTTGATAGATACTGGGGATTGGAACAAGAGTTGTGCAACAAAAAATGATCTATAAGATATGACAATGAAATGATAGACAATGTTTAGGTATGTTTTTGACTTTTTGAGGAAGAGACTTTCTTTCTCCTCTCCTCTCCCATCAGCCAGATGCTCGCAGGAATGCTTGGTGAAAGGGTTCCTTTTATATGGGAGCTTCTGGACTGAGACAATTTTTTTCTCTCTCTGATTAGCACTTCCTTTTTCATTGATGCTGCCAGTATTTTCAATTGCTCCATTTCTATTACTTCAACTCAATTCATGAGAGTTGAATTGAATTGAGTATAGAGGATAAAGATTTAAGTCAGACAAAACTAGGTTCACACTCTGCCTCTGCCTCTGCCTCCTGCCAATTGTAACCTTGGACAAGCCTCAATTTTCACATTGATAGAATGAGTAGAGTTTGTTAAGTTGAGAAATTCATTCATCCATTTCCCCTTCCTCACATCTCATTTTGTCCCTGGACATTTATGCCTTGGTGTTCTTGTCATTCTACTTTCTTTCTGACTTACAGATTGCTTTGATCCTTTGCTTTTGACATGTCTCTACAACATTAAAGATTGTTAGTACTGTCTCCATTTCTTAAAAGAAGAACTTGAGGCTCAGAGAGGCTAAGCAGCCTGTCCCAAGTCACCCAGCAAATGGATGGCAGAGCCAGAATTTGAACCCAGATGTGACCAGGCAACCCAACCAATGGTCTTTTTTATATGTGGTGGTTTTTCCACTTTTTCAATGCCAACCTGAAGAAGCTAGTGAACAAGGGTGACCAGCTCAGTGGGCTGTTGAGGGCTGAATCCAGCCCATGTTCTGCTTAGCAAGCCATGTGCCCTGGCATGGGGCCATGTTGCCATAAAGAGAGGTGCCTTTTCTAATTCTCACACATACCAAAAGAGCTACTAGAAGGAGACTGGCTCCCTGCTGTTATGTGACAAACATGCCTCCTCCAGAGCCAACTTGGAATTACATCTACAAGTTGGCATGATTGCTACTGTGTACATGGGTGCTCTCCTACTGGCGGCCTCATTAATATCCTCTCTTTTAAGTTAGGGTAAAGGAGAAATTATTCGCCTTTGGGTAAATGCATAGTAATTTTGCTGAGTCACGGGATATTGAGGTAGAGTGGAGTCAGAGAATGTCCTGCTAATTTACTCTGTATTTGGGAAAGCCAACTCCAGGTTTCAGAACAGAGAACCAAGAATCCATTACGGTAGATGTCACCTGTTTCTTAACACTGCATTTTCATTGTTGATTACTTTTATGAACTGGCTATTTTCTTTCACATGGATTTGTTTTGCCAAGCATGGATAACTAAGTTATTGATAAATAAAAATAAATTTGTTTACTGGTTAAAGTCAGATCCTGCCTTTCACTTTATTTATTCATTTGACAATCTATTTAAATTGTCACACTTGAAAACATGAAGTAAATGTTAACATTATTTTAAAAGATATGCTCCTTTTATGAGTGTATGCTGCTACTATTATTAAATTATTATGGGGACATTTACACAGGAAGAATTACAATTTGGCAATTTAAATTAATTATCTAGGGTATTATCTAAGTGTCCTAGTGATTGTGATAAAATGAAGAAGAGTCTGGAATCAATTAGATAATATGTATAAGGCTTATTATTACTTTCCAGACCTAAATAATTGAGAAGTGTGGTTTGAAGTAGTTTAACATATTGTTGTCCTTCCTTTCCCTTCCCTTTTTCTTCTTCCTCTTCTTCTTCTTCCTCCTCCATCTTCTCTCCCTCTCCCTCCTTCTCTTCCTCTTTCCCTGCCTCTATCCCTCTTTTCCTCTCTTGGGCATGAAGCGGAGTATGAAATCTTGGTACTTCATATATTCCATTAGTATTCCATGGAATATCAAATATTCCATTAAATAAAGATTATATCTGCCTATATAAGACAATCATTTTTAAACTCAGAATTTAATAAGCTATGAACAGTAGGAATTTACTTGATCTAGTTTTCTAGATATAGTATAAGATCTTAAAGTGAATTAGATTTTAAGTGAATAAATGCTAGTTATTACTGTTCTTTAGTTGTAATATCTGGTTAATAAAGAATTCCAGAAGAAATGTGTGTTTATTTTTACTGTAAATGGGTGTTTCCAAAGTTTTAAGAACTAAAAAATATCTTTTTAACTTTATATCTAGTTTATTATGCTAATATTATAAAACTAGTAGCTGTGAAGCAAAGGAACTTGCTGGCAACACTGCCTGAAATTCCACTAGTAAAGATTCATTTATGTGGGTTAAGCTTTTGTCTATAGAAAGAATTCATTAAAGGATTCCAGAAGGAATGGCTCAAATCTGTATGAGTCACTAATTATGACAGTAATAATAATTACATTAATTTATATTTTAATTACATAATATTTTCATGTGTACTAGATGCTAGGAACTGCACTAATTGTCTTTTAAACATGACCTACTAACTTTACAACAGCCCTGCCTATAAGAACATTTTTCAATTTTATAGATGAGAAAATTTATAATAATAGAAATTTAAAACTCTCCTAAGGTATAGAATGTGTTTGAATCCAGAATGAAACACAAGTATGCCTCACTCCAAAGCCTTACAAATTTCCTGTGGGAACTAGTTTCTCAAGGGGCATTCTAAAAAACACCCCAATTAAGGGTTTCTGGGAAAAGCCATTAAGAGGTGCATTGGAAGGATTACATACCTAATAACAAGCCTCATGATTTCACTAAGGACAAACACTGAGCAGATGTCACCTAATACTGTGCAGTCCTTCTTTGAACTACCTCTTTCTCCACTTTTGATATCCACGTCTATAAGATTTGATGGTTTTAAATTATCTTGTAGGTGTTGTTTGGTGACAAAATGTTCCACCCTCATACATTGTTTGACAAATTCATTGCCACCAAAGTGTGCAGTCGGAAGCTATTCCATCGTATTTGCAGCAACTTCCTATTTACTCTGAGTGGATTTGATCCGCAAAACTTAAATATGGTAAGTGTAAGTAATTGGGTCTGGGAAAACATTTGTTTTGTTGCACAGAGGTAATGAAAGTTCATTCTGGAGTATATGGCAACTGCAATTCGAGGTTTCCTTTTTGCTTTTGGAATGTTATCAGTACATTCATGGCTTCCAGTGAGGGTTGAGAGTCCACTTGCTTTCACAGGAGGATTTGAGAAGAAAGCTTTACTGCCAACAATTCTCATCTCTTCTTACCTGAAACGTCCTTCACTTAGATAAAGGCTATGGGTTTGATATTTATCTTGCTGTGCTTGAGCCTTATGTCATATTCACTGAAGTAGAATATCAGGGGATGAGTTCAGACATTTGTATTTTTATTTTTACCAATTTTCCACTTTCACAGTTGATTTGGAAAGTTATTTTATGAACCACTTACTTTCTTAACCCAAAGGGATAAAAGGAGAGATGGTTCTTCAACAACAGCTACAAATTTATTGTTCAAGGGGTACTGAGAAGGATCAGTGTCAGCGTTCTTGTCAAGTAATGTCTAACTTAACTGAGATATTTTCCATGATGACCCAAGGAGTTGGGGGAGGGAGGAGGGAGAGAGAGGAGATGTGTTTGAAACCAGAGGTAGGATCAGGCTGAAGTTGGTCTCCACCTCTCTCACAGACTTCTGCCCAGAGCCTAATCTTCCAGTCAGTGGAAAGCACTGCTTAAAATATTTCTTGCTTTCAAGAAAGATTTATAAAAGACTTTTTATGCAAAACATGTCTTAGCCACTGCCTTTCTACATTCCTCTCTCACTTTCTCAATGTACAGTGGAAACTATGCTTGCCTATCACTTAGATGTAAGGATATATACAGGTGAAAGCATATCATGTAGATAGAGCTGAGTAAAAAGACCTTGAAACAAACACAAACGAGTGTATTTTAAAAGCACCCTCTCAGCATATCCTAAGAGTTTGCTAAAGAAAGACATCACAAAATAACATCCTTGACTATTCATTGGCCCTTGCTGTCCATATGGACACCTTTTTTCAGATCACCTTTTGTCTTCCTGCCAAAAAGCAAGGCTTACAGAATATTACAGCACCTTCACGGACATTTGTTTCAAAGAACCATAACCAGGAGTGCATAAGTAATATTGGTGGAACTTTGGAAAAATACACATGTCCAGAACTCAACCTTTGAGATTTTGATTTATATTCAGTACATTTGGATAGCTTAATAAGTAGGTTAAAATATTTTTAAAGCCCTAAGATGTTTCTGATGCTTACTGTGGTTGAAAATAACTCTTTTTATTTTAAAAACAGTGCAGTTGAAAATATAAGAGAATCAAGAGTTTGTGTGCGTGTTTTGTTTTTGTTCTTGTGTGTGTGTGTGGTTGTTTATCCATAAGATATCTAAATAAACTGACTGAATTAATTATGCCACACAAACTTTCAGAGTCCTGTAGAATATTTACCACATTTTAAAATTCAGAAAACAAAAGGTAACATTCAGATCTATTATTAGCGCCTTAGGGTCAACAGCTCCCTTTGAATGTCCTTTGGGACTTAACATGGGGTGAAGGAGAAGATCACTGGGGTTTTTATCCTTTAATCTCCTATACCCTTGAACCTATGGGAGTTGAGTCTGGAAAAAGATTTCCTTTTGTCTTTGCCCAGTGGGATTCCCCCTGTAGGTTTGAGGACAGGACGGAGTCGGTGGAGGAAAATGTTCTTCTAAGATGGGCTTCTTTGGTTAATATGTCTTCAGATTATATGGTACATGTTTTTTTCCTTAAAGAAAGGGAAAAGAGGCTGGGCGCGGTGGCTCACACCTGTAATTCCAGCACTTTGGGGAGGCCAAGGCAGGTAGGAGATCAAGACTACCCTGGTTGACATGGTGAAACTCCGTCTCTACTAAAAATACAAAAACAAAATTAGCTGGGCGTGGTGGTGCACACCTGTAGTCCCAGCTACTCGGGAGGTTGAGGCAGGAGAATGGAACCCAGGAGGTGGAGCCTGCAGTGAGCTAAGATCGCACCACTGCACTCCAGCCTGGGCAACAGAGCGAGACCCCAACTCAAAAATAAAAATAAAAAAAGAAATAAAGAAAGGGAAAAGAGGAAAAGAAGAAACTTTTAAAATTTCTCTCAAATGTTTACTTGTGGTATGATGATATGATTAGCCTTTAAATGAGAAGTAATCTCTTTGCAGAGTCGCTTGGATGTTTACTTGTCACACAATCCTGCGGGAACATCTGTTCAGAATATGCTGCACTGGGCCCAGGTACGTGCTTCTTATTCCTGCTTGATGCACACATACCTCTGTCTTATTCCTGCGTGATGCACACATACCTCTGCAAGACCCTCAAGGAGTGCTCTCAGAGAGCTCACTGCAGGGTTCTGCAGGCACCTGCCACTGTCACATTGATGTTTTTGGAATCAGCATCAACTCTTCATTTTTATTTACTTCATTCCCACTTCTTCTCCTTGTCCTCAGTGTCTGGGTTTTGAGCATGGTTCTCAGATATTCTGACTGAGTTCTGATCCTTAGATTATTCCAAACTGCATTTCAAGGGAAGGCTTTTATTTCCTCTTTCAGAAAGTCATCAACTCTAATAGAACTTTATATAAAATGATGCATCTTATTCCAGAAAAAGCTGTTCATCCTCCAATCAATATATGGGGCATTTGAGAATGTGGAAACGATGCTTTATTCAGAGCAAACTGAAAGCTAGGGAAGAACTAAAATGGATTTATGGCTTATGTTTTTATCCTCAGTTAAAGTTTTATTTGTTTTATTTTGTTACTCAATATACAGAAAGCTCAGAGAAAAGTCTAATTCAATTGGTTTGACTTTCTGAGCCTTGTGTGTGTCTTTGTGTATGCATGCACACACATGTGCATGCACATTCATTTGTTTATTATGTAACATTTGCCTATATTCTTGGCTGATGGCAGTCACAATGCCTTTTGAAAAGTGAACAAAATATAAATAATTCTATGACTGGGAGAGGGTTGGTGTCTTCTTAAAGGTTTAATATATCTGAGATCCCCCCCCCCAGGAATTTGCATTTTAATATATACCCTAACAAATTTGCTCCTTGTTTTAGACAATCAGTACTATAGATAGCCTGAAATACTAGGTGAGAATTTCTGAAATACTTGGAAGAGTTTGACCTCCAGGATATAAGCCTTCAAGTTCCTTTAAGAAGAAAGATGTTCAGGATATAGGGCTTCCTACTGATGAGGAGACAGATAAGTCCTCTTATGAGCATGACCTTCCAGGTAGTACACGTTTAATTTCACAGTTTTTGAGCACTTAATGTATGCTCTTCTTGCTGCTCATACATGTGATTTTATTCAGTCTCACTGAATTATTATGACAACTTTTTAGTAAAGGCATTGATATCCCCCCACTCTACAAATGTCATAGCATGTTATTTATTTATTTTTTGAGACAGGGTCTCAAAAAAAGCATGCAGTGGTACTATCATTGTACCCAGGCTGGAGTACAGTGGTACAATCATGGCTCACTGTAGCCTTGACATGCTGGGTTTAAGCAATCCTCCCATCTCAGCTTCCTGAGTAGCTGGCACCATAGGCATGCACCACCATGCCCGGATAACTTTTGATTCTTTGTACAAAGATGAGGTCTTGTTTTGTTGCTTAGGCTGGTCTTGGACTGCTGGACTCAAATAGTCCTCCCACCTCAGCCTCCCAGAGTGCTGGGATTATAGGCGTGAGCGCTGCGTATGGCTGCCTATTCCTTATACATTTTACAATTGACTTCACTTAAGAAAAACTTTTCCCCTTTGACAGAAAATCCTCTTCAGGATAGAAATAAGTGGGGATGGTGGGGGCATGCTAAATATTTGGTTATAAGTTACATACGCAGCTAAGGTAAAAGTGATGATCATGATGATGGTAGTAATCCTAGTGAAAAAAAGCTGTTTGTTGGGTATTACTAGGTGCTACATGCTTTATAGATGTTACCATAATCTTCACAATCCTAAGAAATAGTGTTACTATCATTCTCATTTCACAAATATCTTGCTTTGAATCACAGATTCAGTAGTCTATTAAGCCTGGATACAAACAAGGTGTATTAGTGTCTTTCACACTACTATGAAGAACTACCTGAGACTGGGTAATTTATGAAGACAAGAGGTTTGATAGACTCACAGCTCCACAGGTTGTACAGGAAACATGGCTAGGAGGCCTCAGGAAACTTACTATCACAACGGAAAGCAAAGAGGAAGCAAGCACGTCTTACCATGGCGGTGCAGGAGACAGACAGCATAAAGCGGGAAGTGCCACACACTTTCAAACAACCAGATCTTGTGAGAACTCACTCACTATCACGAGAACAACAAAGGGGAATCCCGCCCCCATGATTCAGTCACCTCCCACTAGGCCCCTCCCCTGACACGTGGGGGTTACAATTAGAGATGAGATTTGGGTGGGGACACCCCCACTAGGCCCCTCCCCTGACACGTGGGGGTTACAATTAGAGATGAGATTTGGGTGGGGACACAGAGCCAAACCAAATCAGCAGATTTGATCCTAGAGCCCAAGTTCCTAAGTACTACATCCTATTGCCTCCCATTTCTAAAAGCTCGCAGAATTTCAACAGCAGCAGACTGCTGCCTCTCTGAATATAAATCATGATGGGAATAATTTTAAACTAAAAATCAGGACTAAATTAGTAAGTGGGAAAAATATCTGAGATTCAAGCTAAGAAAGGAAAACACAGAAGAGTCTGAGAATAATTTAATGAAGTGCTTGACATAAATGTCAAAGTTATCTGCCTCATCGATCCTTCGTGGGTGGCAAATAACAGAAAAATGAAATGCTGTATATATGAATGTCCTTATATTCTAATACTTGAAGTTTCAATACCAAAATGCAAAAGTAGTCATGCACAGTGTCTCAGTCAGCCCATGGCTACGTTATGCACATCACAGCAGGTGGCTTGCCCTGGCATATGGGAGGCAGACAGCAGCCATGTACCTCACACACAACTGGGAAAGCTCAGTAGGTGAATATTTCTTTTAATAGTGAAAACAATGTTTAAGGATAGGGAATATAATCATAACAGCTTAGACCACATCATGAGGATAAGGTACAAAGTTGTATAATAACAATAGCAGTAATAATTTTTAAATGTAAGAAATTTATAGTTAATGCCTTTAAAAAATTATTAAAATTCCTGAAGCAAAGATATTCAAGAATCATTCAATTTTGCATCTTTAAAAAATATTTCTGTGTGCAGCATGATAACATTTAAAGGCATTGGATTTAAATGAAAAAATCTGATGATTTTCATTGGAAAGATACAGGAATGAGTAAAAGATTGTACCAATTCTGTGAATTACGGTAAGAGTTATCATTTTTTATTACTTATTTTCTTAACCTTTATTGAAATTTAGCTTACATTTCTGAAGAGTGGGGCATAATGTTAATCTTCTTTGTATATTTCTTCTGTACTGTCTTTAAATGTACACTATTTTCTTATATTATTTTAATGTGTTCATTTTATTTTAGGCTGTTAATTCTGGTCGGCTTCAAGCTTTTGATTGGGGAAACTCTGATCAGAACATGATGCACTTTCACCAGGTACAAAAATAATCCTCATAATCAGTTCCATGCTGCAAATGAACTAACAAAAATAGTATCCACTCATTAAGCACCTGCCACTTTCATTTACCACACTGGATATTGCTTATTGCTGTTCTCACAAGCTGCTTATTGGGTTCTTGCCATGTGCCACATCATTATTTCTAATTCTTACAAGGACATTGCAAAGTAAATATTATTATCCCTATTTTTTTCAGAGGTTCAGAGAGGGTAGGTAAATTACCAGAGTTATTCAGCTAGTAAACAACCAGAGAGAGGGGCTCAAGATGGGCAACTAGACACAGCCAGGAAGAGCTTCTCCCATTAAGAGACAAGACCATCAAGAAGATTGGAACACTCTGAGCAGATCTTCAGAAGAAAGGCATTGAGAGTGAATGGAGGTAGGATGCTGAGCCTGGGCTAGAGGGAGGATTCTGGGAAGCCTGCACGGGGTTGCTGAGCACCAGGACTCATTCCAGGCCCTGAGTAGCTCCTGGGGAAGAGGTGAGTTAAATAGCAGTGCAATGGCCCACTCTTACTATGGACATAGCTGCAGGACACCCCACAACCCCCATAGACATTTGAGCTAGTAGGCAGAGCTGCTTGGAGAGTTGGCAGGGACAGGACTCTTGCCTGTGCAAAGCCAAGAGGGTTTGGTGCAGGAAGAGCTGCAGTGAAATACGGCCAGTGACATCCATTCCCCAAGGCTTGCCAAGCTCCTCTAGGTGGCATTGGCCTTTGTTGACTGTTGAACCTAAACAGAACAGGGCTATCTTACCCATGGGATGGGGCCAGTGTGATCTCAGCACATCCCTGTCTGCTGGCCTCTCTCAGGTTTCCTGCCTGGCTGCACCTGCTTGCAGCACAGCCTCACATGCCCAACCAGGGTGCTTCCCCAGTGGTCACTGCCATACCTCCTTCACTGGCAGATTCTGCCTAGCCATAGGAGAGCTTTTGCAGATGGGCCCCTACCAATGTGAACATACTTGCAGTCTCCCATGACTGCTTTGCAAGCATGCATGTGTGCAAACCTTACCACTACCACTGCTACGATGAAGTGCTTTTGCCCCGCCTCCCATCAGAGTGTTGTTGCCAGTATATGAGGAACATCTCAGCCTCTCTGGTACAGTAGTGGCCAGAGAACAAAGCTTTGCACATGGTCCCACCTACCAAGGTTATAGCACACAGCCCAGGAATGCTGAGCTGAGCGTTGGCACCCTGAAGTCATTCAGAAATGAAGCCAGTCAACTAAACACAACTTATATCAAGGGCTTCAAAGAACATAAGAGCAAAAAGCCTCATCCGAAGGACAGCAACTTCAAAGATTAAAGGAATATCGGCCAAAACAGTTGAGAAGGAATCAGTGCAAGAACTCTGGAAATTTGAAAAGGCAAACGACCTCTAAATGACCACACTACTTTTCCAGCAATGGTTCTTATCCAGATGGAAGTGACTGAAATGACAGATACACAGTTCAGAATCTGGATAGCAACAGAGATCACTGAAATTCAGGAGAAAGTTGAAACTCAGTCCAAGGAATCTAAGGAATCCGGTAAAATAATTTAACAGCTGAAAGATGAAATAGCCATTTTAAGAAATAACCAAATTGATATGATAGAGCTGGGAAACTCACTATAGGAATTTCATAATATAATCAGAAGTATTAATGGCAGAATAGTATGGCAGAATTTCAGGAAAAAATCTCAAAGATTGAAGACTGGTTATTTCAGTGAACCCAGTCAGACAAAAATAAAGAAAAAGAATTTTAAAAATGAACAAAATCTGGAGAAAATATGGGATTATGTAAAGACACCAAACCTACAGCTCTCTGGCATTCCTGAAAGAGAGGGAGAGAGAGCAAGTAACTTGGAAAACATATTTGATGATATTGTCCATGAAAATTTCCCTAACCTTACTGGAGAGGTCAACATTTAAATTTGGGAAATTCAGAGAACCCCTGCAAGATAGTATATAAGACAACCATCCCCAAGACATACAGTCATCAGATTCTCCAAGGTCTATGTGAAAGAAAAAATATTAAAGGCAGCTAGAGAGAAAGGGCAGTTACAAAGGGAACCTCATCAGGCTAACTGTGGACCTTTCAGCAGAAACCCTACAAGCCAGAAGAGATTAGGGGCTTGTATTCAACAGCCTTAAAGAAAAGAAATTCCAACCAAGAATTTCACATACAGACAAACTAAGCTTTATAAGTGAAGAAGATATAAAATATTTTTCAGGCAAAATTGCTAAGAGAATTTATTACCACCAGACCTGCCTTCCAAGAGGTCCTTAATGGAATGCTAAACATGGAAATGAAAGACTGTTACCAGATACTACAAAAGCACACTTAAATACATAGACCACTGACACTAGAAAGCAGCTATACAATCAAGCCTACATAACAACCAGCTAACAACACAATGACAGGATCAAATCTACATATATCGATATTAACCTTGAACGCAAACAGGCTAAATGCCTCACTTAAAATGCGAAGAATTGCAAATTGCATAAAGAAGCAAGACCTAACTGTATGCTACCTACATGAGACCTATCTTGCATGCAATGAAACTCGTAGGCTCAAAGAAAAGGGAGGGAGAAATATCTATCAAACAAATGAAAAGAAAAAAGACCAGGGGTTGCTAATCTTGCTTTAGACAAAACAGAATTTAAATAAACAATTATCAAAAGGAACAGAGAAGGGCATTGAATAATGATAAAGGGTTGAATTTAACAAGAAGACAACTATCCTAAATATACATGCACCCAAGACAGGAGCACCTAGATTCATAAAACAAGCCCTTAGAGACCTACAAAGAGACTTAGATAATCACATGACAATAGTGAGAGACTTCAACACCCCACTAACAGTACTAGACAGATCTTTGATGCAGAAAACTAACAAAGATATTTGGAACCTAAACTTGACACCTAACCAAATAGACTGAGCAGACATCTGGAGAACACTCTACCCAACAACAGCAGAATACATACTCTTCTCATGTGCACATGGCACACACTCTAAAATCGACCACACACTCAACCATAAAGCAATTCTCAACAAATTAAACAAAAACTGAAATTATACCATATACACTCATGAATCACAGTACAATAAAAGTAGAAACCAATACCAAGACAATCCATCAAAACCATGCAATTATAAGGAACGTAGACAACCTTTTCCTGAATGACTTTTGGGTAAATAATGAAATACAGGCAGAAATCAAGAAATTCTTTGAAACTAATCAAAACAAAGATACAATATACCAGAATCTCTGGGACACAGCTAAAGGAGTGTTAAGAGGAAAGCTTATAGTGCTAAACAACCACGTCAAAAAGTTAAAAGTATCTCAAATTAACAACCTAACATCACACCTAGAGAAACTAGAGAAACAAGAGCAAACCAACTCCAGAGCTAGCAGAAGAAAAAATAGCCAAAATCACGGCTTAACTGAATGAAATTGAGATGCAAAGAAATACACAAAAGACCAACAAAATCACAAGTTGGTTCCTTGACAGAATAAATAAAATTGATAGGCTGCTAGCTAGACTAATAAAGAGAGAAGATTCAAATAAATATAGTCAGAAATGACAATGGGGACATTACCACCACCCCACAGATACACAATAATTCCTCAGAGACTATCATTATCACCTCTACACACTGGAAAATCTAGAAGAAATGCATAAATTTCGGGAAGCATAACACCTCCAAAGATTATATCAGGAAGCAATTGAAACCATAAACAGATCAATAACAAGTTCCAAAATTGAATCGGTACTAAAACACTACCAACCAGAAAAAGCCCTGTACCAGAATGAATTACAGTCGAATTTTACTATACATGTAAGAAGAGCTGGTGCCAATATTACTGAAATAATTCCAAAAAATCGAGGAGGAGGGGCTCTTCTATAACTCATTTTTTGAAGCCAGCATCCATCAGTCTGATGCCAAAATCTGGCAGAAACACAACAAATAAAGAAAACTTCAGGCCAATATCCCTGATAAACATATATGCAAAAATTCTCAATGAAATACTAGTGAACCTAATACAGCAACACATCAAAAAGCTAGTCCACAACAATCAAGTAGGCTTTATTCCTGGGTTGCAAAGTTGGTCCAAAATACGCAAATCAATACGTTTGAGGCATCACATAAACAGAAATAAAAACAAAAACCACAAGATCATCTCAATAGACACAGCAAAGACTCTTAAGAAAATTCAACATCCCTTCATGTTAAAAACCCTCAACAAACTAAGCATCAAAGAAACTTACCTCAAAATAATAAGAGCCATCCCAACAAACATATGAAAAAAAGCTCAACATCACTGATCATCAGAGAAATGCAAATCAAAACCACAATGAGATACCATCTCATGCCAGTCAGAATGGCGATTATTAAAAGGTCAGGAAACAACAGATGCTGGCAAGGCTGTGAAGAAACAGGAACACTTTTACACTGTTGGTGGGAATGTGAATTAATTCAACCATTGTGGAAGATAGCATGGCTATTCCTCAAGGATCTAGAATCAAAAATACCATTTGACCCCGCAATCTCATAACTGGGTATATACCCAAAGGAATCTAAATCATTCTGCTATAAAGATACATGCACATGTATGTTTACTGTAGCACTGTTTACAATAACAAAGACATGGAACCAACCCAAATGCCAATCAATAATAGACTGGATAAAGAAAATGTGGTACACATACACCATGGAATACTATGCAGTCATAGTACTATGCAGCCAATGAGATAATGTCCTTTGCAGGGACACGGATGCAGCTGGAAGCCATCATCCTCAACAAACTAACACAGGAACAGAATATCAAATACCACATGTTCTTACTCATAAGTGGGAGTTGAACAATGAGAACACATGGACACAGAGAGGGGAACAACACACACCAGGGCCTGTTGAGGGTTGGATGGTGAGGAAAGGGAACTTAGAGGATGAGTCAATAGGAGCATCAAACCACCATGGCACAAGTACACCTATGTAACAAACCTGCACATTCTGCACCTGTATCCTGTCTGAGGCGGGTGGACCACTTGAGGTCAGAAGTTTGAGACTAGCCTGGCCAACATGGTGAAACCCCATCTCTATTAAAAATACAAAAATTAGTTGGGTATAGTGGCAGGCACCTGTAATTCCAGCTACTTGGGAGGCTGAGGCACCAGAATAGCTTAAACCCAGGAGGCAGAGGTTGCAGTGCGCCGAAATTGCACTGTTGCACTCCAGCCTAAGCAACAGAGCAAGACTCTGTCTCAAAAAAAAAAAAAGAAAAAAAAAAAAAAAAAAATTAGTGCCACTTTATAACAAACCCACTC